CGGTCCGCTACGAGAAGTCAGATCAAGACGGTGATGGGCTGCCCGCCCTAGGCTTTGGGGCTGACCAGCCGGCGGCTCTACCCGACCCTAAAGTCATGGGGCTTGAGGTGGATCTAGCGATAGAGCCTAACCCTCTAGCCGACTGGAGGACGCCCTACCTCGACTACCTCCACCGTGAGGCGCTGTCGATGGACAAGACGGGGGCTCGGCGACTCGCACGTCGCGCCAAGTCATTTGCCGTTATCGATGGTGAACTCTACAGATGAAGCCACACCAGGATCCTATAGTGCCACTTCCCCATCGAACAGGGAAAGCAGCTGCTGAGCGATATCCATGGTGGGGGTCTACGATCTCCATGCCACACCTAGAACCCTGGTTGGCAATGCATTCTGGCAAGGCTTCTAATTGCCGACCACAGTAGCCGACGCCGAACAGATTATGCGCACCTACGAAGGGTGTCAATACTACGCTCGCCAGACCCACCTGCTAGCCCAAGCACTCTAGACGATCCCCATCACATGGCCATTCATGTTCTAGGGGCTCGATCTGGTCGGACCTCTCAAGAGGGCGCCCGGGGGCTATACGCACTTGCTTGTCACCATAGACAAGTTCAGAAAGTGGATAGAGGCTCGAGCGATCTCTATGATCAAGTCCGAGCAAACCGTGTTGTTCTTCCTTGACATCATCCATCGCTTTAGGGTCCTAAACTCCATTATTATGGACAACAGCACGTAGTTCACCAGAAAGAAGTTCCTCCAATTCTACAATGAATACCACATCCATGTCGATTAGTCCACCGTGGCACACCCCCGCACGAACGGGTAGGTCGAGCGCGCAAACGGCATGGTCCTACATGGCCTCAAGCCTAGGATCTTTAACCGGTTGAACAAGTTTGGCGGACGATGGGTCATGGAGCTTCCCATGGTGCTCTGGAGCCTGAGGACGACCTCCAGCCAGGCCACCGGCTACACACTATTCTTCATGGTCTATGGTTTCGAGGCTATCCTTCCGACCGACCTCGACTATGAAGCACCAAGGGTCAGGGCATACGACGAATAGGGAGCCAAGGCATCCCTCAAAGATACCATGGACCAGCTAGATGAAGCGCGTGACATTGCCCTCCTCCACTAGGCCAAATACTAGCAAGCGTTGCGCTAGTACCACAACCGTCGAGTGCGGGGTTGGGCCTTCAACATCGAGGACCTAGTGCTCTGCCTCATCCAGAGAAACAAGAACTGCCACAAGCTCTCTCAGTTGTGGGAGGGACCATACATCATCACGGAGGTGCTCTGACCAGGCACCTACAAGCTCAAGACCATCGACGGCGTAGTCTTTGTCAATGCCTAGAACATCGAGTAGCTATGTCGCTTTTACCCTTAATATACACACACTTTCTCTTATCAGTTTCACTATCAACTCTATGATCTTTAGTGACACCCGACCCCAGCAATGGCTGGGGGTCGGGCCTCACTCGGGGGCTAATAAGAGTGTATCTATCTGTCGGGGACCTAATACCAGGGTACCCCAGAAAGTGGAACCAATAACCATCGAACGTTAAAAACTTCTAGACGGACAAGGGCGCCGCTGCGTTCCTTGCCCGAATGATGAAAGTTAGGTTCCGTCTCGCCCGATGCCTTTGGGCCAGCCTCGCCTCGCCCAAGGGCAAAGGGCTGGCCTCCGTCTCGCCCGACGCCTTTGGGCCAGCCCCGCCTCGCCCGGGGGCGCCCGACGCCTTTGGGCAAGCCCCACCTCGCCCGAGGGCAAAGGGCTGGCCTCCGTCTCACCCGACGCCTTTGGGCCAGCCCTGCCTCGCCCGAGGGCAGAGGGCTGGCCTCCGTTCCGCCCGACGCCTTTGGGACAGCTCCGCCTCACCCGAGGGCTAAAGGCTAGTCTCCGCCTCGCACGAGGGCTGAGGGATGCACTCTGCCTCGCCCGACCCCCGAGGGGTGGGCTCAGTCACGCCCAAGGGATAAGGACTGGGCTCCATCTCGCCCGACGACCGAAGACGAACCTTGCCCCATTCGATGTCCAAAGGCTGGTTTTATCTTACCTAATAACTTCTCTCCTGATCCCTCATGATGATTGGTACAGAGCAAGACAAGACGTTCGTGTCAACCACGGCTTCAAGGACCATACCCTGTGCCCCGGTAGGAAAGGTACTGCCAGGGAACGACTTGACAGGTGCTTTAGACCCTCCCAGGCGCCGCAGAGCCCAAAAGGTATTGTAGGCGCGTACTCCTTGCCCTGTAGAGTTGTAGGCGCCGCCTTCAGCTCTGGAACACAGAACCCGATGAAGATACACGACAACCACTACACTCCAGAAAAGGATTTGTGATCTCCACGAAAGATGGTTGTACCATCGCCACATTATGGACCCAAGGGAGCGGCGCTCGCTTCCCGACCCCTCGGGTCCATCAAATCAAAGGACCTTGCCCACAGCGCTACTCCGGACCTCGACTCCGCATCCCTCCAACAGAGACTCATAGGAGCCAGAAGGCGTGCGGAGCAAGGCTGGGCGAGGTTCATAAGTCAAAACCACTATACTCCAGCCCATACCCTGCGCAGGGCACTATTATGTAACCATCCTGACATTCTGCAGAAGCATCGATAGTATTGTAGGCGCTTATCATCCTTTCGCACCCATCAGAATGGGTAAACGAGGCTGGATAGAAGTAAGCCACAAGGCTAGGTAGAGCACGGAGCCTAAGCCCAGACCCTTGTAAAGCCGTCCCCTTAGCCCGGCCCAGGCGCGTGCTATCGCTGCGCCGCCTGCTGGGCCGAGTTTTATAGCGAAGCGGGTCCATTGGGGACTCCGGGTTTATGAACCTGACAAATGGTGATAGGGAGGTACGAACCAGCTGCAATGAACTGTCTGCAGTAGCGAGAGGAGCTAGAGCCCTTTTCATGAGAGGAGCCAGAGCCTGGAAAAGGGGCTCCGCCTTGGGGGCTTCGGCTCTCGCGAAGGAGCCGTGCAGGCGAAGCCCTCCTAAACAGGCCCTTAGTCACTCGCCCAGTCACTCAGCCAGTCGGTCACTCGACCACTCAGCCATTACACCACACAAGCACTTGTCCACTTTAGTCACTCGAGGATAATATAGTAGCCCCGATCACTCAATCACTTCACTCGGCCACTTAGTCACTCAACCTAAGGTAATATATAGCCTGTTCGGCTGGAGCGGCTGGCTAGCTAGTGCTGGCCAGCCCTCTCATGCGGGCACTGTTCACATGAACAGTGTCTTCCAGCCAGAATAGTACTCTTCTCTCACACCAAACCAGTCAATAGTAATAATCCATGATCCAGCCAGCCGTGCCGAACATGCTGACAGTAGCTCCAGTCACTCAATCACTCAGCTACTTGGCCACTTAGTCACTCAGCCCCTCGGCTCATGACCATGTATCTCAACCACCTAAACACTGAGGCACTATGGGCATGTTTGCTTCTTCGACTGAGATACCTGCCTGACGTGACGCAAGAAGCGCTCCTGGGTGTCTGATTTTGGATGCCTCGGTTTTGATGGAGCTGCTGGCTAGGCCCAGTTCCCAAGCAGACAGCCCATCAATGCTCATGCAAATAGTATGAGTTAGTTACTAACTTTCTTATAAACTTTTAGCATATAGCTCATAATACGAGTCTTACATATAATTTTAAAATATATGTATGAGCCTAGCTCTTAATCAGAAGCTAGCTTTTATTTCTCTTAAATATAAATAATATACTTTGAGCTAACTCATGAGTTACCATTGGCTGCCCTTAGATGCATAAATCTATATTATATTGATTGTAATAGCAAATGACATGAACATGCGTAATCATAATCAATGAGAACATTTAGTTTAATCATCCCCTCTAGCAAAAAAATGTTGCTCAACTAAAAAAAAAAACAGAGCAAGTCTGTAAATGTATATAGTCCACCAAAAATAAAGAGCATGCACATGTATATTGTGTAAAAAAGAATGCAATAACCTTGTCAGAGTTACATAATCTTAAATTATTTATGACAATTGCGACAGTAATTTTTAACTTTTATCCTATAATAACTGTTACAATGAATATTTCCCATAAAGACGAGCCACCTCACGGCATGTGGTGTATGTTTTCAAAATCAAAATTAATATACATGTTGTCATGTGTTATATAGCAGTGCTAATATTCAACTCGTCAGTAGCACTTCTCATGTACATGGGTTAACCTTACGATCTTTCAAGCACTTATATTACCTACCTACAAGAAAATACTATAACATAAAATATATATGGTTTTGGTAGATATAAATGGATTGAAATGAGTTTAAATAAAATAACTGAACGGAAGCCTGTGTCACAACTCTAATACATTCTTGTAAATACCACCTATGAAATTGACTCTTGGTTAACCAGGGAATGGAGGATGTAGTAAGTTGGGTCGCCTGGCTTTTCTAGGTTGTCGCAAACAATCAAACAAGCAATGCCAGTTCGACGTCAAGCCAAAGCCAGCCGGTTTCCATTTCCAGCCCCATGGCATCCTTCCAAACCAAAGCCAGCTGAACGGTTCGAGGTCAAGCGGCCGGACAAGCGTTCATCATGCTTTGCATTTTCCGCACGCCATGAAGCTCCTGATTGATTGCCGGCCTATAGGAACCTCCGTCCTATTTTGTCTTAGGCTCTTGAAGTATACATGAATTTGAGAAATCGTTGGATTGACGGACATGTACGTACTTCCTTTGTCTCAAAATAAATCAACTTTTAAAATCATCCTAAGTTAAATTATCTTGAGTTTGATCAACTTTATCATGAAAAATAATAAAACTTATGACATCAAATAAGTAAATTATAAAAATATTTTATATGATATATCTATGGTACTAATATGATGTCATAAATATCAGTGCCATTTTCTCTAAATTTAGTCAAATTTAAAATGGTTTGGCTTAAGATAATTCTAAAAATTTATTTATTTTTAATTTTTTTACGGAGGGAGTACGTACTGAGAGATGACAGATACAACTCCACTACAGTACTTACTAGTAGTAGTATTTAGGGTCAAATTCGCTGTTGTCGGGGCAGAAGGTGACGGTGTAGGTGTTGTTGACGACGGCGCAGCTGAAGCTGGTGGAGGCGGAGGCGGCGTCGACAACAGCGTAGCTTTTGGCCGTCGGGCACGCGTTCTGCAATGACCCGGCGTTCCCCAACGGCCTGCACGCCACAACACGGCCGGGCGCGTTCACCTGCTAGTCGGCCGGGCACGCGCTGTTGAGGTCCACCACGCACTGAGCCGGAGCGCACTGGCCGCCGCCATGGCTCGTGTCGTAAGGCGCCACGAGCATGGGCAGGTTGTACCCGTCGGCGAGGCTGATGTCGTAGGTGTCCGTGCCGCCTTTGACGCCGAGCGCGAACTCGGCGACCGTCGCTGCCGGCGCGGGCCCGCCGCCGCCACCTCCGTCGCACTCCAGACGGCCGGAGCCGCAGTCACCCGTGGCGCACGTGAACTTGCCGTTGCCGTCGGTAGAGCAGTCGGTCCGGCCCCAGATGCGACCCGACCACCCGTGTGGCATCGGGATTCCGAGGACGTACTCGTACCCCTTGAGCTCGGCGGGGGTGAAGCTTAGGGGCGGCGAGCCCTGTCCGGGGGCGATCACCGGCGCCACCCTGTAGGTGCAGTTGTTTTTGTATCCACGTCCGTCGACGGCGCGAAATCATCTGAATCGGAGAACAGAGAGAACAGGCAAGAGGCAACGCAACATTAGCGCCATAGCACCAACACATACAAACTAATTATAGACGAAATCGGATCCTAGTTCGTCCTGGAGAATGGATATGCAGGGACAGGATTAGTTGGCTGCTTACCGCTAGCGGAGGCGCGGGCGCCGAGGACAACCAAGAATGTGAACAGTGCGCGGCAAGCTGCCCTCGTCGTCGTCGCCATTGTGGACGGGACAGAGGCGAGAGCGGAGCCGTTTGGTGAAGCAGTGCTGCCGGTGTGGCTAGGAGAGCGCGAGAGCCGAGGGTGCCACGAGCTATTTATTTATAACAGTATAATGCCTATAGTAACGATTTTATATAGAGAATGATCATAAAAACATCTAATTTGTTATTTTGTAGTTTAACCTTTATCCAATTATTATATTATAGCCTAATTTGTCATGGATATTAATTAATGCAGAAGACGTACGTGTAGGGAGGAGCCGGAGACACGGCCATTTCTGGAGACATCGAGCGTCAACATGACTAGTCGAGGATTTGCATTAAGTATAGTTGTATGTTATATTTAAGATGGTATACATGGACAAACGTTATTTGAAGAATAATCATGACAAGGACATTGTGGAGAAACGTCGAAATGAAAATTATATTAAATATAAATATTAGAAGTGTATTATCTTTGGATAGAAATCTAGTCGATGGCGATAAAGTTGTCCGGTCCTCGTGCTTTTCGGCCTGTTGTGACGGTGGTCGCGGTTGTCGTAACACCGTTCTTCGTGGCAATCATCATTGCGACGTGGTCTGGTGGTCGGAGCTCGGCGGAGCCGCTCGGGACTTGGTCGACGTGGTCCGTGGTCGATGTGGTCGGAGCTCGGCGGAGCCGCTCGAGACGTGGTCGACGTGGTCCGTGGTCGACGTGGTCGGAGCTCGACGGAGCCGCTCGGGACGTGGTCGACGTGGTCCGTGGTCGATGTGGTCGGAGCTCGGCGGAGCCGCTCGAGACGTGGTCGACGTGGTCCGTGGTCGATGTGGTCGGAGCTCGACGGAGCCGCTCGGGACGTGGTCGACGTGGATGCTCGATCAATTCGGTGGTCAGAGGGCATGTACCTAGCTCCATCGCATGGGGAGGCAAAAGCCCTCGGACATGTCCAGCCGAGGTCGGCCTACTCTGAAAACCCGAGAATGGTGGTCGGTTTTAACTGGTAGAGTTAGAATAACAATAGACTTCAAAGTGACACATTAGAGTGGTCGGAGAAATCATAATAGCTTTATTGAAATAAATCAAAAGTACAAGAGGGGTACATATCTTAGTAGCTAAGCATAGAAACGCCTAAGCTTGTCGATGTGCCAGGAATTGGGTACGTCTGTGCCGTCTAGGTGAGCTAACCTGTAAGACGTAGGGCGTGTGACCTCCTTGATCATGAAGGGTCCTTCCCATGGGGTTCCGAGTTTGTGGACACCAGCCTGATTCGTCTTCCACTTCAGGACCAGGTCCCCGATCACGAAGAACCACTCCTTAACGCACACCCCCCCTACTTGCTGATTTCATAATTAACAGGATATGCTCATGCGGCAAACTCCTTTTTTGGAACTCCGTGACATGCCCATAGGTCGACGTGAGGCGATACCTTCCCTGTGGAATTGTCTAGCTTCGTCGTCATCGCTCTAATGTTCCATGTCTTCCTGGGGATCTGTTGCATGGGCAGCACGTGGTATGTTAAAAACTAACTCTTATGCAGTCATGTTTGTGTCATTAAAAAGCAACCCACCTCCTTCGTCATCATATTCTTGTATCTCGTTGTTTGCCGGCTGGAACAAAGTTTATTCTCTAGTATAATGTCCATGCTAACGCAACGGATTTATCTTAGAGACGCATATGAAAACAACAAATATTTTTTTTTCATAGTTTAATATAATTGCAGCAGTCATGCTGCAATCTCCAATTCAGTGATTTAGTTTATAAACCAAGTCTCCAAGGGGGGAAAATTCATGAGTGCTCTTGTGTCCTGCATCAGAAGCTTCACAGGATCTGATGGGGCATCATACCACACACAACCACCAGTGACCACACCAAATTCTACAGATCATCGGAGTATATCTACAAACAAAGACAATAGAGATGCTTCTTGCTTGGAAGTAGTAATTGAAAATAAGTGATTTTTGACACACAAAAAAACAATTTGTATTTTTCTTTTCATTCCTTCGAGCTTTAAATAGAACATGTTGACCTTTGGCACTCACGCCTATTTGGTTTTACACGGTAACACATTACACATAATTTTAAATCAAATAATTTTTTTATTATTTATAAAATCACATTTTTCAAAAGTATATAAAAAAAGAGAATGTGTGTCTATAATAAGATTACAATATCATCGTATTCTATTGTAACGAACATAATTTCATTCCTCCTCATTTTGACTCATACTCCAAAGCTCTAAAGCTGCTATACAATAGGCTACATGACATTAAAAACTCAAGTGGTATGAAGTACATAAACATTTGTAAAGTTAAGAGCTAACATCTCCATATCCCACACCAAACAACTCGCCCAGCACCCATGCTGAAGTAGTTCTTATTCCTTCATCTGCATTGCTAAGTTCCCAAATCAACGGAAGAAGGCCTCCAAGTTTGTCAAGATCTGAAATTAAATTGATAAAATCATGTCAACATAAGAATCTAGTATAGAAAAAAAGTATAAATTCTTGGTTTGCACAAACTGATAAACAAGCATAGAAATGAAGTACTTATCTTTATAAAACAGGGAATGGAGACTTGAAAACACAGTTTTAACTTTCAGAACAAATAACTATGCAACAGGTACATGGATCATCTTAACATGCATCAATCAATTACAGGTGAATAACTAAACTGGCATACTCTCTCTTGTGGACAAGAGTCAAAAAGGGAGCATCTATTCTCTGTAACTACAAGCTCATCCATGCATTGATTTGCTGAAGATGAGGTTTCGAGCATATGTTTATATTGACAAACAAGTACATAATTTACCATTAGCATTGTCGATGGGCTCAACCAGAACTAAAAGCTCTTGCAGTGCACGGTGGCGGTCCTCCAGCAAAACAGAGGAATTATTTAAGTCAGCGATAGCAACCTTCATCAACTCAGCATCTGATGGCACCTTTAACTTCTCCATCAGCTCCTGCAGGGCAGTTATTTGGATGAAGGTATTTGCATTTTACATCATCCAAACGTTGGCCTGAACTCTGAAGATCAACTTCTATGAGCAACAGAAATAGGAGTTCTTGTTCAAGAAATTCGTGACTTAGTGTAAACTACTAAAACTTAAAGTGAACTCTAAGCTTGGATGAACAAATTTTCCATCAGCCCTGCACCAATCTCTTCACCTTAATCTCCATTTGTTTCTTGAGTAATTCCTCTGCCGATAGCCTCTCCAATTCCGCAGCCTTTTCTCTCAACTTATCCGGATCAGAGTTCCCTGCATCAGCAGCAGTTTTGGAGTCAATTTGCCCCTACTTGAATGACAATGTAGGCTAATAAGCATTGTTGGCAAAATTTTTGATATAATAAATGACCGAAATTGTTAATATTTCGGGTTCAGATCGGCGAATTCACCCGACAAATGAGGAAGGAACCCGCAAAGTCCCAGGCCCATACCAATCGCCCACTGCAGCATGCTGTCGAGCGAGGCGAACTCAGGTGGTACAGCCCACCATGAACTCGAAATGTATAAACACCGGTCCCTACTGGACTTTTATATCTGTCATCAGTGGTAACCCCTAGACTTGCAAAGGAGAAATGTGAGTTGATATAACGTATATGTTTCCTGAAATATTTTGCATCATCGTGCACTTGACTTGTGAACAACCTTTTGAGCTCTGCAGGAACATCTGGTATATGTATCCGTACTTTTCCTTTTCTACAACAAAACCCGGGTGTCTCACCCTGAAACCGTACTAATTCTCGCTCAATATCCCTCACAGCATCGACAGCATGGAGCAGCTTCCCTTGCTTCCATTTTGTTTCCTACATTTGACAGAGAATAAGGATGTCATCCTTAGTTTGCAAACTAATTGCTGAATGACATTTTTATCAGCTGCATCTGCAGCAACAGAAGAAGTGAAAGAAAGACAAAGGGTCTCACATTTGATTTTCGAAGTATGGATGATAGGTTGAACTTCGGGGCCTGCCTAACGATGGAAAATGCCACATCTTCCAGGTTGCCAACCAAAGCTTCCAACTGTAGAGTAGCTTCTGGAATGTCAGCATAGCAAAGTTACAGAAAGCACTATACATTCCTACACCATACAGAGCTAGAGGTCTCAAAGAAGATATAGTAACAAACAATAGCAGCCAACAGAACTCATCTCGTGGCAAATAGCAAAGGTGAGCAGATTTTGATGCAGAGGGGAAATGAAATCAAAATTGAACTATGAATTGGTAAAGTTTGAAACTGCGCAGAAGACATTTATTATTCAGATAATGTCAATGGACTCGGTTACAAACTTATGATATACTTGTTCATGTGGCCCGAACCTTCATGGGTATCGTAGTTCATAGACTGGTACTGAAACCAACACAGAAGCTTCTACATTCAGCGCAATCATGAGGACTACATTTCCCAGCGCTGTAGAAGGTCAGTGATATGGATATTTTCAGCGCTGACAAACCACTGACACAAAAAAGGAACACCAGATTATACTGTTGCAGAAAATAAATCACGTATTAAGTTACCAAAAGCTACATCGCGCAGCAACAATGTAACTATAAGGCAGGCTCCAGAACACACTCATATGGCGTAGCTCCGTAACCATCTCCAGAACACACTCATATGGCCTAGCTCCGTAACCATCAGTTAGCAAACCAATTTCGTGTGTAATCTACGACCAGTCACATTGTATTTGCCCATGCCACCATGTAAACGTCCACATCAATAGGAGGAAGAGATGCTGACCCGCGTAGAGCCGGATGGTGTCGATCCGTTGGATCTCCCGCACGAGCGCCGGCAGCCCCACCGTCCTCGCCGCCTCGGCGCCCTCGTCCTCCGCGCCGACGCGCACCCGTAGGAAACAAAGAGGAAACCGAGCGGGATCAGCAGTGGAGTCTGGAGTGTGGAGGGGACGGGCAGCCTCAGCGCCCCCGCGGCACCTGGACTAAAACCCCAACCAGCAGCTAGGGTTCACTACTGTTGACGGGAGCGAATGCGCGAACGAACCTCGTGACCGGACGCGGCGGAGGTCGGCGCGGGCCTCGGCGGAGCGCGCGAGCCAGGACGCGGTCGCGGCAGCGAGGCGCGCCTCGGCGCGGCGGAGCGAGGCGTCGAGCCCGGCACACTCGCGGCGCAGGAGCTCCGCGAGCGCCGGCGCGGCCTGGCGTTTGTTTCCTTTTTTATACGGAGGGGAGTGTTGAAGCCTCCGTCACGAGTATAAGTTTTTAATTATACGAGAGACGAGGAGATTTGATAGCTTCGATTGTGTAACGAGTAAGGAGAAAAGGTTTAGAGTGCATCTGGATGGTTCGTTTGAAATGTGTTGTTTTTCTGGGTATATTTTTTGGGTGGACTTAGAGGGGATATCTCAGCGGGGGGTCGTTTTCATTGCGTGGACGTAGGAAAGAAAAGATGGTGCATTAATAGGGTAGATATAAGAGAGCGCGTCATATATTTGATGATGATGTTAGCAAAGGATTAATATCGGAGATATTTTAACGGCATTATTAATATTTTCATTTCAACATAAATGCCAACTCGTGCACAAATCTACTCCCTCCGATCCATTTATCAGATTGTCTTAGCTCCTAGACTAGTAGTGTGCCCGTGCAAAACAAGTTAAAATTCGTAAAAAATAAAATAAAATGAACAATTAGATTCATTAAGATTCATGTCTTATATATTGTGTGATTAAATATTTTTGTCACATAATGAATGTCACATGATGATTGTCAGTCTCTCTCACGAGCAGACCCCGCTCATCAGCCTCACATTCTCTATAACAATGTCACATAGTGAATGTCACATAGAGAACTCACATTTTCTATTTTTACATATTTTTAACTATTTTAAATTTAAAACTATTAAACAAGCATATCACAAGATAAAACTATAACTCAGAAAATATGCATGCATTATACATTACCATAGCTTCTACACATCAGTATTAACTTACCTTAAAGAGGGCAGATTTAGAAAAAAATACCAAAAGTAGCAAAACATGGATAAAAAACTCTGGCAGTAGCCTTCATAAAGGGCATAAACCAATTTGATAATAATTCATGGCAAATCTGATTGTATATATGGGAATAAATTGAAAAGGCATGATTGAACTCCCAGCTTTGTTTTTAGCAAATTTAGCGGGTGCTCTGCCATTTCATTATAGGAGAAAGCAGTACAACAGTTCAAAGAAGCATGATCCTAGTTTACATAGAAACGAAGGGAAAAAAACAACTACTTATACTTCCTTGCTAAAGAGTCAGAACTCGGTTTGTTGGTCAGCCATTGCTTGTGTTAGCATCGCTGTATCATTCAATTGAGCCTCTAGTATTTGTTAAGGTTGTTGGACCTATAGTTCAGGTTATAGTTGTTTGCAAAGGAATGATAGCAATTCAGGCTCAATTATTGCCAGATTTCTTATTAAACCAAAAAAGGGTTCTAAACTTGCTATCTCAGTATGAAATTAAGATTCAGATGCTGAGATACAAAAATATGTAACTGACAACGTGAGAAGGGCTACCTTGCTAACCCAGACACAAGATGAACTGACAGAGATAAACCTTGAAGCTACACAATTCAGCGCTTCTGCATATCGATCTGTACTTCAGTGCTGCATGTTGGAAGAACAAACAATCAAGTTCAGCATACAGGTCAGTGCTAATGGCATAGGTAAAACTTGTGTCCTGTCTAGCCAAGAATAACAGATGGTTTGCTATTAGGAAGATTTAATGAAGTTTGTAGCATTACTAAAGCAGCCATGGTACAGATCCTGATAAATGAAAACAGCAGCATTTTTTACATAAAGAACTAGTAATAATCAAATTGTGTCATAACAAAATTAGAACTAAGATTATTTTCTCAAAAAATCAAACTTTTTGTTTGAAGCAAAGCATTTGCTAGGGGCTGAACCACATGCATGTCAGGGCTAAATTTTCAAGTGATTGAAAGCTGAATTTTCAACTCATGACTGAATAATGTGCATACACGTATTTGTTCAGGAAAGCCCCATTCATTCATAACCTGAGAGCAGGGCAGTACCGAATTGTTTTAAGAAAATATTCAGTACTGAATAGCTGCAATTATATCAAGCAAGAGCGGGGCATGTTCCCTGATTTCTTTCAAGATGAGAGAACATTCTTTATAGCATGTATTCCCCCTAAACCAGCAACTACCCATAGTGCACAACATTTAAAGAAGAAACTCTGCTTGTCACTCTGTCTCACCAAGAACAAAAAAGGAGGTAAAATAGTGCTTGTAGTAAAGAAAGACACCAATATACAATCCCAGTCGCTCAGGACCATGATACAAGGTAGCAATACAAATTACAATTTGGTTAGTGAACCAGGACTGTAGGAAAAAAGAAAAAGAAATCATAGTTGAAGATTGTAACAGAACCAGTTCTAAGCGAAGGAGCAGGGAATAAACAATCGAAACATTGATTTCAGTGCAAGTGCTAACTTAGTAAAAAACCTCCTATGCAAAAATAATCACTGGGGATTGCCGGATCATGAACAGTACTTTGCTACAAGTTCATGTGATTGGCTGATTGATATGTATATAAACTTAGAACTATCTAAAGGATGAGCAAAGACCAACTATGTTGTCGCAGCAACCAAAATCAAATGGCACATAAACAATTTCCCTAAACAGGTCAAGCAAACTCGGTGTGATCCAGGTGCTCATAATGCTGCAATACAGGCAGTACTGGAGACCGAGAAGCTGATTGACTTATTGAGTATACATTGGACATTCAGTTAACTGACATTAATTCAGTGTTATCTGAAAGATGGTCTGCCCAGTTCTAATAATGCTGCAATACAGGCAGTACTGGAGACCGAGAAGCTGATTGACTTATTGAGTGTACATTGGACATTCAGTTAACTGACATTAATTCAGTGTTATCTGAAAGATGGTCTGAAACAAGCATCCACCTATACACTCATAAAGTGTAACAAACAATAAGCAAATCAGTAGCACCTCTCTGACACAGCAATAATGCTTAAACCATGTTTTTCGGTGTACCCCCATATATGCCAGTAGCAGCTGCCCTTTTAGTTTCGGCGTACCCCCGTATATGCCAGTAGCAGCTACATTTGTTTTCAGATGATATGTGATAAAAAAATATAAAAGAATTAGTACCTAAAAACTATCTAAATCTACGAAGGTATTGCCGTACTTACAACTCAAAGTTACTCCTAAATTATTTTTTTCTCGAATATACAAAAGATTTACGTATCATTGTATTAAGTAGAAGAGTTTAAGCAAACATACAACGCGCTTCTCTCGAGCGCCGAAGGAGGTCGACCTAACACAGCCGAAGAAGGTCGACCTAACACAACGCGCTTACTCCTAAATTACTAAGTTTAAGTATTGCAGTAGGACCGTGTACCTAGCTCACTGCAGTCACGCTTGTTGATTCACGTACGTAATCAGGTTGAAGCTGACTCCCCTAGTGCCTTGTGTTTTGA